AGCGTCAAAATTTGTTTGTGAACACAATAGAGACTACAGTTTTTAACTGATTTTAATGAAATTTGGTGTGATCATTTATATTGTTAGATCTTGGTCATGTTTGAATTTGACGATCTTTTGATGAACGGTTTTTGAGTTATTGCCATTGACTTAGGAAAAATGCGTCAAAATTTGTTTGTGAACACAATAAAGACTACAGTTTTTAACTGAATTAATGAAATTTGGTGTGATCATTTATATTTATGAGATCTTGGACAAGTCCGAATTTGATATTTCAATGAACGGTCTTTGAGTTATTGCCCTTGAATCAGGAAAAACGCATCAAAATTTGTTTGTGAACATATGAAACATGATGTGATCATGTATATTGATGCGATAATTTGATGTATATGGGTTATTAATATTGGTTTTTAAAAAATTGGTGGAATTTCTCAGCATAAATAACTGGCAGTAATTATAAATACATGTATCATTGAATTCAAACTAATAAAATTTCTTTAAAATGAGAAAATTCATACTTTAAACACTAAAGACTGTTTTATCATTTCTGACAACTGCCATTGGGGGTATGTTACCTTGCCTGGCAATCTATCTTTTATGTTCTGTGTAACAAGATTTATCGGATTCAATTGAAAATTATCAATTTTTTTTTAATTTAAGACTCATGTGCTAATTATCGGATCTGAAATTTACAGGATATGATTATACAGAATGGCCATACAAATAGAACTGCGTCATAAAATTTTTTTTATCACTTCCGGTTTGAGTGTAGGGACTTCCGGTTTCTCACGTTGGGTGACCCTGCCTCCGATGCAATTAACCCTTACCCATACAGATTATCTACAGAATATCATTGGAACCAAGTAGAAAAAATTAAAACCGGAAATGACGCATGCGTAGTTACCTCAGAGTGGCGCATTTTCGGGAAATTTTAGTAAGTTTCCCGTTTATTATTCGATTACAATGACTTTGGTGTCTATCAAAACTTGTTGGGAACAGAATTTTGATTTTCGAATTTAAATCTATTTTATATCTCGTGACCTTGACTTTTCCAGTGTAGAATTCCTTGACCTCAGCTATTAATAGACATACTGATGTTTGACAAAAAAATATCAACTTCCGGATTTAGAGAGCATCGAAAATTGACATATTTGCAGCTTTGGACGGTTATGCATTATTCTCTAATAAACACAGAGGCTTGTTCATAGTATTAATGGCCCTAACATTCTCTATTTGATGATATATTACAATAATGCATAATGCACTATTTGAAAAAAGAATTTTTTTCCAACTCCGGTCCTTACATCAAAAGTATTTATCCCACATCACAACAAAATTTAGAAAACCTTCATTATAAAAACTCTCAATTGCTCATTTCATGTTCACAAACTGTAGGATTAAAGGCACCGGAGTTCAAAGCTAACAAGCTAGAGGTTTCAAAAGGTTCGAAAGCCATGGAACAAGGTCTCCTTCTAATTAGACTGTTCCATAAGGTATTGTCCGTCTTGACCTAATTTGGGATATAAATCAATCTATGCCAAAATAACAGCTTGGGCACATCCATTTTGGATTGTTACCCACACTAGTCTTACTGATATTGAATAAAGAATCAAAATAATCTTTTTTAATTTCGCTTAAGCTTAGTTTTATACACTGTATATGCGTCAGTTGACTTTCTCATTTCAAAACCATCCAACAGAATCTCTGGATATTCCACCAGATAAGAATATTAACGTAATTGTTATCTACAGGCCGCCTGTTTATTGATTAGAATTATTTCTTTCAATGTTACAAAGATTATTAGTTTAATTAGAAGAATCTGGTTCAGATTGTTATTATTGAGGATTTCCATCAAAATATCTTGGAGGGTCATTGGTCTATAGTGAATTGTTTTAAAACATTTGTTTTCCGACAACTTGTTCAGGATTACACTACCGGGACACTCATAGACCATGTTTATATCAGTAAAGATATTCCGTCACATAATGTGGCTATTCACATAACCATACGATAACGTTATATAAGATAAAGATAAATATCTAATAAAACTGTTTAGTTTCCTCGCCTGTTTACTATGGGGCAAGGTATTATATACCAGATATCAGAGTTTTATTTATTGTTCACAAATTGTGGGCTTGAAAGCTAACAGACTAAAAGTATCAAAATGCTCAAAAGCCATGGTTTGAGGTCTCATTGCCACGCTCGGAGCTGTTCACAGTTCTAGTATAAGGTTGTGTTCTTTAAACTTGGAAAACCCGCTTATTTGAATATTCAATATTTGATTACCTTCTATTATTATTATACACCATATATAATATAACTGCATTTATAGATATGTTTTTGGTTATTTGCCAAAACTCATTTTTGATCGGTGGAAAGTTCTATAAAGATCGCCTTTTAAATTAGTACTTTAAATTCTATATATCATCCGATCGCTTCTTGATCCAGATAAATAGTAAAATAAATACCACAAGCTATTGTCAGACCGTGACCAAAAATCTACAAGGTCGCGGGCTACCGTGAAGAAACACTTATAACATTCCTACACTTATTAGAAAATAACTTACATATTATATTTTAGGATAAATTTCACAAATGTCGATATGATACAGGTCTCGTTAAACTATAATTTCAGATTTTCCGGACAGAATGATCGAGTTGAATGTGATATTTGTGGTATACGCGTCGCTAAATGGTCAGCACAGGATAATGCTCTACAATGTCATGCCAGATTAGGTCCAAAATGTGCTTTCTTAAAAGAGATTGGTCTTACCGAAAATTACAGATTGGCAAAATATCCAAATTATTCTACTTATGAAATTCGTTTAGAATCAATGTTGGCAGTCCCCCAGGAATTTATATCATCACTACCCTCTAATGATAAGCTTGCCCACGCCGGTCTATTTTATATGGGTTCAATTGATCGAATGTGTTGTTTTTATTGTGGGTTAGTATTAAGAGACTGGGAATCCACTACTGATCCTTTAGAAGTTCATCAACAGTATCACGGTGATTGTTTCTTCATCGTCACATTGGTAAGTCGTATAACTGGTAACGATAAAGATGTAAGTAGAACTCTACAGATAGTTGAAAATCACTTAGCTATGAGACTCAATAGTGAAACATTTACATACAGGCTCGGAACAATACTATCAGAATCAGCGGACACCAAATCACATGTGAACTCAATTCCAAGTGATCATCAAGAAGAAGAAGCAGAAACAGAACATGAAAATTTGAAACTGGATATTTTCTCCCTTTCTATGAAAGAGAAAAACTCAATTTCGGACGTTTGCCTTGATGGGGTCGATGGGTCGTTGTCATCGTTAGATGAAATATCGGATGAAGATTTATTTTCATTGGGAGCAAGTTGTCTTCCCCCTTCAAAGCAAAGTGACAAAAAGGACAAGACCAGGAAGGATGATGAACAAAGGACAAAATCCCAATCCAGAGCATGGGCAAGACACCAAAAATCGTATCCTCATACGCTTCAATTACCTGTATTGAAAGGAGTTTCCGATATCAGTTCAGTATCAAGTGGATATGGTTCTTCCAAGTCTGAAATAGACACACGACAGGAAGAAACAGACAGTTCTAAATCTTTAAATTTACCACCAATATACAATGATTGTAACTTTTCTGAACTACCGATGGTAAAGGCTGTATTAGAAGCTGGTATATCTTTTGAAAAGATCGTTAGATTAGTATGTGAGCGCTATTCTCAGAATGGTGACCTCTTTACTGATGCTTCAACTCTTATGTTAGCTATTCTAGATTCAGAAGTATAATCTGCTTGCTCAAATCAGAATTTATAATCTGCTTGCTCAAATCAGAATTTACCTTATTTTTGTGTTAGTAAACTAAATAAAAAACAAGAATAGATAGAAATATGTTTAATACATATATAATATAAGAATAGATGTCACCATCCAAAGAGACTTTGAGATGACTGAGCAAGTGCATAGGGATTACGGGTCCTTCTTCTCATCTGATTCTGTTGAAACATCATATTCATCAACATGGCCATCATGGGATCATTAGTTAAACTGGCAAAAGGGTTTGTTTGTTGGAATCCAGGTGTAGAGTGTATGAATGGATCATAAAAGTTTCTTTGGTTCATTCTGGTAGGCATGTAACCTTGGAAAATATTACCTTGTTGAGATTGGGTTGGGGTATCGCTATCTGAAACAAAAATATACTTATTTCTTATTATTAAGATAACAAGTGAGGAAAGGGGTGTATACATAATTAAGGCTATTTGAAAATTGCATCCTCATTTTTCAAATCGAATAAGTATATCCTATTGCCCCAACATTTGACAAATCCAATAACCGCTATAAGCAGTAAAATAAAAAAGTAGGGACCCGTCCCTTGAATATACTACATATCTCGATTTATTACATTATTGTGTAATCGTAGCCCGATACATCTGGCCTTACCCGTTCCTCGGACGTGATATGCTGATGGGATATCGACACGTTCAGAGTCAGGCATAAAATGGCACATTTGGGAGTTTTCTCCAATTTCGCATAATCCAACACAATACCACAATACAGTCGAGGATGGGCTTGCCTCAGATTTGTACGAAGAAGGGAAAATCCTACTCCCCGGCGTAACCTTACCTGCAAATAAAGCAGCTAAAAACCCATGGCTGGAGGAAATCAACATGAGATTTATTAGCAGGAAACTCGTGATTTTCAAATTCATTTTCCCTCTATAATAATAATTCAACACATAAATTAAATACCGTATTGTAGTCGGTTTTCAAGAAATAGGAAGAAAAAGTAAAATAAGAAAGACAAAGTAGCCTATCGTTGTCGTTGAGATATTAATGACTGAGGAATAAATATGTCACCTCGCCAAGCTGATTTCGACCTCGATAGAAATTTGACCCTATCATACATTCTTAGCTTAAATTAGATCTATGTAACATTTTGGCAAGTTTTTATGAATAAATATTGATCGTATTTGATTATTGCAGGGCGTTCGTAAGCGCCTGCTTTGTTTTCGTATTGATTTTTTTTTTGTTTTTTTTTTTCGTCCACGGCAGGCCGGTTTTCTCGGCAACGGCAACAGGTACGGGAAAACGGACTTCATGGCGTTTTGTAACTCGTGGCTAATCACAGTTTTTACGCAAAATTGCAACAAACGGAAAATGGACTCTAGAGGGCGTGTTTATCAACCGATTTTGTTCGGGTTTTCTGCATCGTATTTCTTGTAACAAAGGACAAATGATATAAGGCCATTTATCATTCGATTTGCTTAACTTTTGTGTCATACAATACGTTTAATGTCTGTCTACAAAAAATGGGAAGCATAATTTTGAATTTCGGTTTTGCCTTTTTTGTACGACCTGATGTTTTTTTTCAGAGTTTGAAGGCTTACAACTCATGACCTTGACCTTTGATGACCTTTATATTGACCATGGTGATAAAGGCTGCCCTTGACCTTCTCGTGACCTTTTGACCTTTGGGGTCAAACAACAACTTCTGAATTTATAGGGGTCTAAATATGGTCAATTTGGCATTTTTGTAGTGCTGTATCTCAAACCCTAATTTATTTAGCGCCATACCACTTTCAGATTATTAATGCACTTAATAAATGGTTTCAATTCATGTGGCATTTGATTGTGTCAAAGTCACATTAAAGGAAATGTTGCAATTTCCTTAAAACTTTGAACGCGTCTATCAAAGGAACTTGGCCTCGGATGACGTTGATATTTACATTAATGTTTACTATTGACTTCAGCTTTTACATGATGGTAATATTTTTTGTGTCCGACACGTGGTTTCGGTTTTATGTTGAGTTTGCATCTTTAAAGTGTCCTCACATGTGCCCTATTAGAGGTAGAGCAATAATTCTGTCGGATTCAAAATGAGATCCTGCGCTTTCCAATGATATATAAAATGCATGCCTTACATGCAAATTCAAAACCCCATTCACTTAACATGGGGCTATTATTAGATAAATCGGCTAATTAGATTAACCTGGCTGTCAACCCCAATAGAAATCAAAGTGTAAGTTGTTTTAAAGATGCCCTCCTTTTTATATTTGTTTTATATGACTGTTTTATGTCCAGTTATGGTATAAAATAAGCTCTAGGATGGATTGAACCGTGTTATACTGTAAGTTGAGCTAATGGAAGCACATTAAAAAGGCATACCCCCACTTAATTTTCCAACTTTCTTATTTCTTACCCGATTTTAACCAAACTTGGCATATATGTGTATCATTATCGAATTCGCGTAGTGCGCATGCGCATTGCCAACTTTCTTATTTATTATCCGATTTTCATCAAACTTGGAATTTATGTGTATAATTAAATTCAAAATTGATGGATATATTAAATTTGCGAAGTGCGCATGCGCATTACCAACTTTCTTATTTCTTATCCGATTTTCATCAAACTTGGTAGAAATCAAAGTTAAGTTGTTTTAAAGACACCTTTCCTTTTACATTCCTTTAATATGTTTTGAGTCCAGTTGCGGTAAATAAATAAGCTCTAGGATGGATTGAACTGTGTTATACTGTAAGTTAAGCTTACGGAAGCAGATTACAGGGATACCTCCACTTAATTTACCAACTTTCTTATATCTTATCCGATTTTCATTAAACTTGGAATGTATGTGTATAATCAAATTCTAAATTTGATGGAATTATCGAATTTGAGTAGTGCGCATGCGCATTGCCAACTTTCTCATTTCTTTTCTGATTTTCATAAAACTTGGTATGTATGTGAATAATCCAATTCTAAATTTGATGGAAATATTGAATTTTTGTTGTGCGCATGCGCATTACATACTTTCTTGTTTCTTATTCAAATTTCACAAAACTTGGTATGTATGTGTATAATCCAATTCTAAATTTGATGGAATTATCGAATTTGAGTAGTGCGCATGCGCATTGCCAACTTTCTCATTTCTTTTCTGATTTTCATAAAACTTGGTATGTATGTGAATAATCCAATTCTAAATTTGATGGAAATATTGAATTTTTGTTGTGCGCATGCGCATTACATACTTTCTTGTTTCTTATTCAAATTTCACAAAACTTGGTATGTATGTGTATAATCCGATTCTAAATTTGATGGAAATATTAAATTGTTGCTGTGCGCATGCGCATTATCAACTTTCTTATTTCTTATCCGAATTTAATCAAACTTGCTAGGTACGTGTATAATCCAATTATAAATTAGATGGAAATATTGAATTTTTGTTGAGCGCATGCACATTACCAACTTTCTTATTTCTTATCCGGATTTCATCAAACTTATTCTTTATTAATTGACAAATATTCTTTTATTCCTAGTAAATATACTTTAAACTCCAGGCACTTTTGGATATTTGCATTTAGAGATGCAGAAAGGTATTTACATAAAGTAATTGCAATAGACCATCTTCGTATGTACCTGAATGTCGTAACCCGCCCTGCATCAGTACTGTTATTAGAACAGTTCTAGTTTTCTATTTAAATTTTGTCAATATACATTATATGTAATTTATTGTTTTATAAAACGATATCGTAACCTTTAGCTGTTGAATTCATGCCCCATAGATACCAATTTAGTCGTCCAGTGTTTGGATATAACGATATTGGATATATTGTTTCCCTTCAGTGTACAGAGGGCCTACGTTTCAATGTCTACGCTAATCAAAAATCTAGCTCACTGGTCGGCCGCTGAATTGACAAAGCTAGTAAATACGAGTTATACGCCCCTTAGTAGAAAAAGCGCCTCTTCTTTAGAATGTTGTAGACTTAAATACAATTCAGAGAGCACTTTGGTGATCTCACTAAATGCCTAAAGAATGGTATAATTGTTTCTTCCTTAAGGAAGAGTCTTTAGTACAGGGGGAAGATATACCCGGAAACTATCGTATAAAGGCGCAAGTTTCAACATCTTAAAAAAATGAAGTCTAGCATACTGATTGCCGTCAGCTGAACTGACCGATTCTTGCATATTTATATTTATTGTTTTTTCGCTTCTTTTTAAGTTAGACCAAACACTTCCACTCGGTTTTTATTATATTTAAAATCCCTCCCCGGGATGTGCGAGGCAAGGTAACATACGCCCACTGGCAAGTGT